ATGTCCACAAACTAGTTCCAAATGTTTAGAATCACATAATTACATAATCAGGTTTATTCCGGCAACAGACCAACTTCTGGGCACTAATTTTTTATATTAATTGTTTTTCTCATTGCTGTGATGAAAATACCCTACAGAGGCATCCAAAGGAAGGAAAGGTTCATTTTGTCTTATAGTTTGAGGGCTCACAGTCAGTCATGGGAGGGGAGGGAGAAATGGCAGCAGGAATATAAGACGGCTGCCTCACTAAGTACATAATCATGATGTGCTGAAATTGAAGAATTCTGGTGTCCAGTTCATTTTCTCTTTCTTACCTAATGTACTTACCCAAGCCCACATAATGCCATATTTATGATGTGGCTTTCTACCTCAATTTACCCAGTATAAGCTCCCCTCCAAGAAATGTGCCTAGGTATTTCTGTACAGAGTATTCTATATTTTGTTATGTTGACAATTGATATAAAGCATCACCCTGTAGCATTTGGATATTTCACAGCTTTTGATTTACTAGTTTCCCATTTGCATTTCTTCGTGTAAGAATACTCAGTTCCTTTACATATATTTTTCTTTTGGAATGAAAAGGGGGGAATAGTCTGTCTCATAGTCACTTCAACTGGTCAAGTAGGCTTTGGATATTGAAGGCCGGAGCTAGAACTAAACATTATGGCTGGCTAGGTATCCATTAAAAACAATTCCCGAGAGAATAGTGCAAGATATAAGAGGTCTTGGGGGTGACTTCAGATTTCAGATTATGCTTGCTTCCTTTCCTTATGATATTCATTTCCAGATGAATATTTCTAAGGACTGGGGAAAGCAGGCAGAGAATTGTCTTCAACCTGTTTTTATCCTTACCAATTAAAGCTCTAGAACTATGAAGAAGTAACCAAAAATAGTATGTAAGCTGGGTCAAACAGAAGTACAAGGTGATAATTACCTGAACATGTTTGAATTGCAGGCATCTGAAAAGGTATGAAGGAAATCTGACATATTTTCTACATGCTTTGCAGAAGTTTCCATTACTTTTAATTTGGAAGAATTATTTTATAAGTATTGTGGTGCAAACAGAAATTGTTAATACTGCATTGAACTAATTTTTAAAAAGAAACTAAACCCATGATAGGTAAGACAAACATTGACAGAAATCTGTCCATGGGCACTCATTAACAATATTGTGGTTATTTGCATTTGCTGCTTTCAGTTTCCAGGTCAGCATTGTTCACTGGAAACTGAATGGCACATTTGTTACCTTAATTTCATTGAATTTTTTTCTATGTTTAATTCAAAAGTCCTTCCCTCTTAGTGAACAAGCATTCTGTAAGTATGCACATCCTCTACTTAACATAAACCTCTGAAGCATGAACTAAAGATCACTTAAACCCCATGAAGCAGAACTGGATAGTGGGTTCTAATTGCTCAGGCAGGTAGAACTAAGTATGTTGTGTCTGTAGAATATATATTTGAAACAAATGTAAATTTGTTTCAACCCCTTGTTTCTGATTAAAGCAGATTTCCCTGCATGCAAGATTCACCATCAACAAATTACCTCTGTTCAACTAGGTTGAGAGTTAACTCAGGTGACTGTTCCCCTTTAGACCCTAACTCTTCTTCTAACCTTAATCTTCCCCCAAATATCTGAAATATTGGGAAGGAGGCAAACCTGCAAAGCATCACCACCAGGCTGGTATACCAAATGTGTTAGAGAAGCAGATACTACATAACTTGCCTAGGCAATGCCACATATTCAGCTATTACTTTTCTCACTTCTGTGATTTTTGCAGCCTGCCTTTGGATATTAAACTGAATCTGAGCACATAAGAAGAAAAAAAGCTATAGGGCTAATTTATCACTTTTAACTCTCCAAACCACACATTAAGGTTTTAAAAAGTCTTTAACAGATATTAGTTGTATGTATTCCTTCTTATTTTTATTTTTAAATAAAATACTTCTGTATTGGAACCATATCTTCCATCCAACACGCATTTACATTTGTTTTGCAATAACCCTTACATAAGAATAAATGCCTAAATCTGACCTCATTTTAACCTTTAAAAGAGAGAGCCACCTCTCCAGGACATGTCTTCCTTATGCCATCCCTTCTGAATCATCTATAAGACTCTCTGGGTTCTGGCTGCTGAGTCCATAAAGATTCGTCTGAGCCATCCAACACACACTGCTCTCCATTGCTTTGGAACAGCACACCTCTTTTTGAGAAGGATTCTGCTGGATTCCCATCATCACATCGTTTCTAGGAGAGCTGGGACATAATTTTGTCTAATTGACAATTTTATTTTATATCTGGCAACATAAGTTTATTTTGGAATAAATAACCGACCTGTTGACTGTGTTTGCATTAGTCATTAGAATAAGCATCCCTGATTTAGATCATATTCAACAACATCTCAAGTTGGATTATGAAAAAAATTGCAGTCTCTTCACGGGAGGCATCAGCTTAGGCACTACCTGAAATCTCCAGTTCTATTTTCAGGTTTGCTTGAGATTTGTCAAAACTTTTTATGTTTTGATGATTTTTATCACCGGGAGCCTGGACTGGGTTTCTGTTTTTCTGACATGATCTATACACATTTTAATGTTAAAGATTATATATATAAAGAAGCCTGTCATTTGGGACTTGAAAGTACTTTCAGGAATTTGGCAATTGCTGTCTACTCCATGTGAACTATTAAACGACTGCTCTATCCAGTATGGATGATTTGAAGTGTGATTTCAAAATATTACCATGATGCAATTGCTCTACTGCTTGTAATTGAACACTGGTAAATACAAGAGAAAAATGTTTATAAACAATATAGAACTTCACTATTGTGAAACCTCTACAATTTTTCCCTTCCCATTTGATTATAAACACTTAAATTTATTAATGAATGGAAAATAGCGAATTGAATCCCAGAAAACTCAATTTAGAATGGGAACTGGAGACAACTTTTTCTGATGATTTTGTCATCAGAAAAAAAAATGCATGTTTTATGAGCTTTGGTGAGAGACTGAATGTAGGAGGAAGATTATATAAAGGAGACTTTATTAGTGTCCTTAACTGCTGAACCGAAGGATCACAAGCTGGGTGGCTTGGAAATAATGAAAATTTCTTCTCTTTCACTTCCAAATTCCATAAATCTAAAACTAAGGCATCAAAAGGAATATGATCCCTCAGAAATCCAGAATACTTTCATTTTTTCCTATGCTTTCTCTTTACATTATCTATTTAAGTATTTAGTGGTGTGTGTGTGTGTGTGTGTGTGTGTGTGTGTGTGTGTGTGTGTGTGTGTGTGATGTATGTGTGTTGGGTGGATGCATGCTGTGGTGGACGTGTGGCATGGTGTGGTGGACGTGCGATTTAGAGGATACCTTGTGGGAGTCATTTCTGTCCCTCTGCCATGTGGGTTCTGGAGATCAAAGGCCACCAGCTGGGCAGAAAGTGACTTTGGATGCTAAGCCATCTCAAAAGACTTCAGAATCATTCATGAATCTCCCTTGCTTCTGTTTGCTGGCCATCACTCTTCATCAGTCCTCCTGGAGGCTACATCACTCCATGTCCGCATCTGTGACTAGATGGCATTATCCTAGATACCTTCACCTACATTTCTTTCTTCCTACTTGTAAATACCCTACATCTAGTAAAGTAAAATTCTGAGGTACAAAGAGAAGTAAGGAAGTCAATTTATTCCTATGTGAAAAAGATATGGCATTATCCAAAGAGAAATAAGAAATTTAACATTTATTTTTTGAAATTTGCGATATAACTTACTCTACAATAAATGTGTATGGATAGTTTAAAGATAAACATCTTGTATACATGCATGATACCTAGGTTTTAAAATCTATAGGCAGAGAGTGGGTATAAGATGAAAGAATTAGTGATTGACAGTGTATGGGTGTTAATCACAGCTATATGAATTCTATTTGACCAAGGAAATTTTCTAGAACAGGATGTTGTCAATACATTGCGCAGCAACAATGTTGAAATTAGCAAGGAGTTGCAAAGGAAATCAAACACTAGCAGGGGTACATCAAAGGAAAAATAATTTTAAAAAGAACAATGATTAATATTTTTAAATTTTTTATATGAAGGGAAATCTCCAAACTGTGAACAGTTTTTCTCCTTATACACAGTGAGTTTTGTTATGATATACATTTCAATTAAAAGAAAAATAACAACAAAGAGAAACTCTGTATTAGGCAAAACTGTAGATATCATTTCGACTTTGAAATAATTCCCAGTTTTGCCACCCCCTGCTTGAATGTTCAATGTAAGTTGGTCAAATGGATAGAACCAGACAAGCTGTATTTGTATGCTTGTGAATATATTGGCTGCTATAGCAGAATTTTAAAACAACATGACCAAACCTGGACACAGATAAACTGGCTTCCTGCCTCAGCCACTCAGTGACACTCACCTGCTGTGAAGGATGCTTGATCATCAGATCAGAACATCAAAGATCAGATAATTACATTCATGAGAGAGCTGCTCATGTAATTACTGCTGAAGATGCTAACAAGTCCTGAAATTGTAATTACAACTTAAATAAAAACTTGTGGGCTTTAATCCTTTAACAGGTCACATTTAAAAAGCAAAAGTCATCGTATGACAAGCAACATGGCCATTCAGTAAACCTCCCCTACCTGTGTCTCCTCACAGATCAAGTATGGGCATTTTCTTTTCATTTTTAATTATTAATAATCATGGTTTTGTAGCTCAGCATGCAGCTTCAAATTTACTTTGAGTCCATGCAAAGTGGTGGAGTTAACAGAGGAATGTATGTTGGCTCTCTTGGGTTTAGTGCGGACTCTTCTACTAACTCATTACAACAACAACAACAACAAAATCAGACCCTGACATTTGGAAGTCCTGGTTCTCCTCATTTGCAAAAAGAGGAACATGGATGCTACTTTCCAATAATGTTTCAAGGTTTGCGCTGTTCAATGCAAACTGTCGTAACAAATATCATATAGTGGTATTAAATGAAAGACATTTACTTTCTTACTTTTCTTGAAGATGAAGGTGGATCAGGCTGCCAACAATGCCACTGTCTCCTAAAGGGCTCTCTCTGATTTGAGGATGGCCACCTTCCCTGTGTCTCTACCTGCCAGAGAAGGTGTGAACAGGCCCCGTAAAAATCAGGAGACTCTCAACAACCTTCTGACTTCATGTGAACCCAATTACCTCCCGAAGACCTTATTATCAAATGTATTCCCCCTGAGAGTTAGAACTTCAGATGTGAATTGGGGGATACAGTTTATGAAGCAGCAATGACACAAACTTGTAAAGAGCAGAATGATTCTTATGCAAAGAAAGAATATATTTTCAAGTTATTAAGGGAAATGATGTCAAGCTTTGTGCCTAACAGGTACTGATTATTCCCACAGGGATTTGATCTACTTTTTTCATTCCCATGAACTGTGAGAACAGTTTTGAGGCTACTTCTAGGCAGGGGTGAAAGATTACATTGTGCATTGACTTACTGATGTTTAAACCTAAGAACCCCAAATCATCTTAAAACTCAATGGAAAGTTATGACCAGAGGAGCAGGTGTCAAATGGTTTGCTAAGGGAGGTATTATGCCTCACTGACACAGAAAGCAGAGCCCAAATCCTCCAGTTCTGTTTTGATAACAGGAGCAAAAAATACCCAGAAATGCAAAAACTCTTGTAAATGAATACAAAGGCAAAATTGGACCAGCTAGAAGGAACAAACATTTACACTTAGAAGGAAAAAGAGGTAGGAAGTACATTTAATACTCATTGAAGTCTCCTCATGATATCAAGAGGTTGTTTCCTTCAAAGCAGTCCTGAAGTCTGAAAAAAAAATGACAAGTAAACAGAATGATTCTTTCACTCATGTATTCTATTGGGATGGTTTACTGAGCTATTATCTATACCAGGCACTCTTTTGGGTAATAAGAATGGGAGTAAGTAAAATGAAAAAAAAAAGAAAAAAAAGCTTTGCTATCCTTCTGAAGGTCATATTGTAATGGAATAAGAGAATAATAGTAAGGGATCAAATTCCACATACATTTCAGGCAGTAGGAAACCCTTTGAAAGAAATACACTGTGGCAATGTAATGAAGGATTGTTGACATGAGTAAGGCAGTTTTGTTATGGACATAATATCTCCTGCCAGTATTCAGGTAGTAAGCTTCAGATAATGAGCTTTATGACTTTTGTTGTTGCTGTTCTTTCATTTTGTTTTGTTGTGTTGTGGGCCTTTTGTTTTGGCATTTTAGATTGATTTGTTTGTTGTTTGCTTGTTTTGATTTTTATTTGAGGGTGTGTTTGTTTTTGGAGAGAAAACAAGTAGTAGGTTAGATTGGGCAGGATCTAGGAGGAGTTGAAGGAAGGGAGCTACATGATCAAAATATATCGAATAAAAATATTTTAGATGATAAACAAATAAATGAAATAAGTGGATGAGTCAATGTGATAGTTAGTGTAAGGTTCCCCAGGCCTGATCTTGGATATTATGGAATAAATTACAAGCTATTAGAAAAGGAACATGGGCCGGGAGGTGGTGGCGCACGCCTTTAATCCCAGCCCTCAGGAGGCAGAGGAAGGCGGATCTTTGTGAGTTCGAAGCCAGCCTGATCTACAGAGTGAGTTTCAGGAAAGGCGTAAAGCTACACAGAGAAACCCTGTCTCAGGAAAGAAAGAAAGAAAGAAAGAAAGAAAGAAAGAAAGAAAGAAAGAAAGAAAGGAAGGAAGGAAGGAAGGAAGGAAG